AACACAAATTAGTTAGCATAAATCAATTAAATGACGAAAAATTAGGTGTCTATTTACATGTGACCACTCAATGTTTACATATATATATATATATATTTTTTACAATACACACGTTGTCGTTAATGGCATATTTCTTGTCAAAATGTTGTGGCTATGAAAAATTTTAAAATTACTTATGAAGTACACCGAAGAAATATATATATTTACATTTTACTCCGTTCTCTGACTGCAGCCAACGTTTTAGAGATTTTTAACTTCCAGTAAAAGTGGTCGTTAGTTTGAAAATAAGGCATATACTCAATGTTTTAAAAGTAGGATACCGTTCTAGAAAATAACCAAGACTTTCGAGAAATGTCTGAACGTTAAGACATGACAGTACACATTTAATATCCAGCTATATTTACTAATGTAGGCCCCGGCATAATCTGGTGGTTAAGACGCTCGACTCTCGACCTGAGGGTCGTGGGTTCGAATCCCCGTTACCGAACATGCTCGCCCTTTCAGCCGTGAGGGGGGGGGGTTATAATGTAGTGATCAATCCCACTATTCGTTGGTGAAAGAGTAGCCTAAGAACTGGCGATGGGTGGTGTTGAGTAGCTGCCTTCCCTTTAGTCTATTACTGTTTGGGACGGATAGCCCTCGTGTAGCTTTGCGCGAAATTCAAACCAAACTTTCAAAATATAAAATGTAGTGAAAGAAAAACGAATCATAGCATAAAAGCTTTAGGGTAAATGAGAATCAAGTAGTTGTAAGCAGTTTGATGACAGAGAAACATTTTCATTGTGACCGGAATGAAAAGAAATAGCCAAAGACGCGAGAAGTGAGGATGCTGAGGCACCGCTTGGCTTTACGTAAGGGAGCGCTGCGCACCTGCTGGCAATGTTAACTGAAAATAATACAAACATTACTAACTTTGTGAATAGGATCGCCACGTGCCCGGAGTAACTGGTTTTTCGTGAGCATCTCTAGTTCTCTCTGTTGTCAGCACCCCCACTAGAAAAATAAAATTGTTCCGGTGTCAATGGAAAGAGCAGACTTTCAAGTACTATATTAGCAGCCATCTTGTTTTTGTTTGTGTGTGTGCGAGTTTTGGAGAAGAACAGAAACACATCTCTTGGGTAAAACTGGTTCAACTTTGAACTTATGAAATAGTTTATCATTTTGTAATAACACCACAGAAACTTACAGAAATATAACTAATTTTTGACACAATCCGAGAAAACTTGTTACGAGTCTTTGTTTGTGATAGTTCCTGAGGAGGAATTAAGTTCCCCTAATAATTTAAAATATATACCACACAAGTTATTCTTGAACAAGTGTTATAAGGTGTGAAAACCTATGTGTAATTGAAATACATTAGGAGGTAGTCCGATGTTCTATCGTTTCGTAGTGCTTTCACTTGGGATCGTTATGTTCATGTTTAAAATAAGTAAATTCGTGTTTGTAATATCTTGTGTATATGTCTAACCGGATGAACCCGGGGAGTATTTTTGTAAGATAAAAATTTTGTGTCAATAAAGTAATATGCTTTAGCAAAATCGACTTGAATTAGTAATGGCTACATTTTTTCTTTTTGAAATATATGCTGTCTCTGCTAACATTTAGTGACAGGATTTTACTGTTTCTCCTCAATAGAAAAAAATTCAAGTTTCGTATTGTGTAAAAAACTGACCCAATAGTAAAAAAACAAAAAACATTGCAATCTTGTCGTGCCTGTATACTGAAAAAAAAACAAAAACAACAACTTATTTCTGGAAATAATTTCCTTTCTTTTACTTTGAAATAAAACCGTAGAGGGAGTAATTATTACTATTACCAGTTGCTCCCCTCTACGGTTAAAACTTATATTAAACAGACGCTACATAAATGCATATAAATTAGTAATTATAATACAGTATAAATATCAATCGAAGTACAGATAAAAATTATTTCTAGCTTAAGTAACAATAAATGTTTTAAAATTTACGTAATGCTGACTGGAACACAGTACAAATAAATCAAAGGACCGTGAATTCCAGAGAATCTTGCATTATTTTTAGTTGTGATCAAGAAACAATAATTTTTTACCCTTGTATATTAATTATTATTGTATTTTTTATTTTTAACGACCCCTAGACAACTAAAATTGTCATCGTGAAAGCAAACTAAACTTTACACCATCTGTGCGGTGTAATTCACTTGAACTATGTTTATTGAATATAGTTTGTAAAGAATATATTATATTTTAATCATTGCATAAGTGTAGGCCTAACTGGAGTGTAGAAAGAACGTTTTTCGGCACGATAGTAGCAGAAAAGATTCTAATAGTGTAGGCCTACTTGCAATGCAGAAAGAACGTCTTTCGGTACTATAGTTCTCGGTTAGTAATAGTAGTATGAATAATTTTAATGGTAATTTATCGTATTTTTCGATATCCAAGTAACACTTTTTTTAAAGCTGATTTCAAAATTACAGAAGATTTTGTTTCGAAATATGCCGATAAAGATACGTTTCGCATTTTCAATCTATCGTAAAAAGTCGTTTGCAATTGCCGTTCATTATTGTGAAAATCACCAAGAAGCCTTTAACGAAACATACAAAATATATGAAAATTCCAATTGATTACGTAGCCATAACGTAAGACACGTGAATGTAAGAGATCTGACATGTCGAGGTATACGAATGGAGAATTTATGCCACATATAAGTCCCAGAGTAATAAAAAGTAATATCATACAAACAACCAAAATTAGGCCGAGTTCACTCACCTCAACAATTATTAAGTTTGATGTAAGAAGTATTTTGCTAAAAAAAAAGGCCAGAATAAAAGTTTTATCATTTCCTAAGTTGAAATAAGCTTAATCTGTAGGCCTACGTTTGATAAACGTGCTATAAGGATAATAAACAGTGTGTGGGGAGATTTTAGCTAATTAAGGTAACATAGTCAGAGTTCCCCAGATAATCTATCTACTTGTCTCTTTCTATCTAATTCTTAATCAACAACTGCCCTTCTTGCAGAGATAAACTTGAAGAGTAATTTTAACTTTCAAAATTGAAATTTACACTGTAAGTGTAACCCCTTAATTTGAAGAAAACGTGAAACAAGAATAATTCCATATTCAAAAGCTGCTCTTGTACAGAAACAAGAATCGTTTCGTGACCGAGTAGCTTCATTTCACTGTGGCCTAATTTCAAGTTATGCTTCATAAGACTTTATCTTCATTGAGTTGCCATTATTAAGCTTAAAATACAAGTCTCTTAATGTTACGATTGTCTTGATGGTACCGTATACATACGAAAAAATTTCCAGAAGCTTCTAACGACGTCTAGCTTATGAAACAATTCCCACGTGTTTTAACACTTAAGTATCTTTTTCTCTCCTTTCTTTTTTGCTTTATTTATTCATCTGTCTAGTTAATAATAGGGACGCTTCTTAGCCACATCATTCTATTTTTCCTAGTTTTGCTTAGTTCGTTACACTACAGGTAATTAAGGAGAACGTGACAAGATTGCTACGCAAGACTGCACTTGAACCCATTATTTTAAAAAATAACTGGGGCAGTAACCGTAAGCAGGGCTTTGTGCCTTCACTGTCAAGGTAGTGGCATAAATATAGTTAAATAATTTGAATGAACTTGAGTAGGACATGATCCCCCAGATGTTTATGTCTTAATGGAGGGTTTTGAAGGAGCACATTCGCATATTAATATAAAATGTTATTTTCCAGTTTTACTGGCTGACATTTTATTGCTTTGAGGCTGTTGAAGAGCATTAAGTGATGTTGTTACATGAACACAAAAATCCTCTTACAAATTATAAGGTATTTACATTTGTTTGTGTGGTTTCGTCTCGATTCCGGGTGACTGGAGTCGTGAGTATGCTACGTAACCCTAATTTTGACCTACTCTAATTTCTCTTCCTTCTCTTTGTTAAGAGACAAATCGAAAACAAGATTGCTCAAACTTCAGTATTTATAAGACAATGATTATGATGAGTTTTGTCATCTGAAAAACATTTTTTTTGCAACAGCGTAACCTGAACAACAGCGATTTAAGTCGTTGTTCTTTTGTAAATATTTGCGCCGCCATTTTAAAAGAAAAAAAAGATATAATTACTTTATGTTTATTATAAACATAAGTATTAGTATTTTGTATATTATTTAATCATCGCTTGTGTTTGTGTATTACTCGACCTGTAGTTAATAAATAATATTGAATTGTTTGTAATTAAGCACAAAACTACACAATTGGCTATCTGTGCTGTGCCATCACTACAAAATTAAGGATGGTTAGGGCAGATAGCCTTCAAGAAACTTTATGTTAAATTCAACAAATAAATACAATACTATCTGTTACGAAGTCACGTGTGTGTTTATGTTTTACTAAAGATTAAATATTGTCCATCAACGAGATCTTCTTTCATCAAACTTTCTCAGGCTACTTATAGAGGGCGCTCTAACCTCCTGTATTCCCCAACCGTGTTTTAAATTAGGTTATTATGTGAGGAAAAGTAAAAGGCAAAATTAAACAAAAAAGTTTCTTCTTATTTCTTGTTAAAATTTCAAATTTTAATTCAACATGTCATGGTTAGTATCCAATATAAGGACGTGTTACTTAAGTTTAATTATTAATTAGTTACTATTCATTTTATCACTATAGATAGTAATAAGGAATTATTTTTAAAATACACGTATTGCCATCTATCGTCACTTCTCGGAACTCACCTTGATGCCAGAGCAACTTTCAGATACCACGTATTAATATCAGTAATTATTCCAAATATAAATAAAACATATTTATTTATTCCGCACTTTGATGCTTTTCAAATTTCTCTTATCAATAACTTTGTTTATAACGTAAATTACGTGAAAATAAAAATAAATCAACAACGTGTGTAGCTGTAAACTGTAAAGCTTTATTAATTTTATACTAACAAAAAGCACTTGTTTAAAATAAACTTCACCACTTTGATGAAAACGGTTGTTGAGTTATATACCACTAGAGGGCAGCTTAGACAAAGATTTCCAATTTCAGTATCCATTTTGTTCAAATAGCTTTCGTCGATCTAAATACAAATATATAAAAATATTACTGATTGAAATAGCACTGTATTGTGATAACAGACGCCAGTAAGGTTTATATTACTTAACTAATTCGTTACTAGGGGAAATAAAACAAAAGATAAACGAGTTACTGTTATTTTAAACAATGTCATTTTTTCACGATGTTAGAAAATCATGTAAGTTCAAGAAATCAATTTAACATAAAGATACAATACCATGTAACCCGTGCACTTTCGAAAAGCCCACATTTTCCTCTCAGTTCGCCCCTGAAGAAGAAAGGTCCACCTTTCGAAAGTACTCTAGTTATAGGGTATTTTATCGTTATGCTTCTTCATCATTCAGAGACTTGCTGTGAAGGAAAAGTCTTATACTGACGTTTACATTATACTGACGATTACAATAGGTTTTACTTACAGTAGTTAATCCCACCATATTCTTCTACCACTTCCAATAACACCACCACCTCTTACTCCCAGGTGAAGAGGAATGGCAAGAATTCCAATAACACCACCACCACCACCTCTTCTTAAGCCTCCTCCCAGACCTCCTCCGATACCACCTCTGAAGCCACCTCCCAGACCTACTCTGAGGCCTCCTCCGATACCACCTCTGAAGCCACCTCCCAGTCCTACTCCGAGGCCTCCTCCGAGACCTCCTCTGAGGCCACCTCCGAGACTGCCCCCGATGCCACCTCCGAGTCCTCCTCTTAAGCCTCCTCTCAGACCAGTTCCTCCCAAACCACCTCCATTAACTGCTACAGGTACAGCCTGGGAATAAAATGTTAAAGCATATATTTGTTTATTATTGGATATGATAGATGTACATTGGATATGACAGATGTACATTGTATATGATAGATGTACATTGGATATGACAGATGTACATTGGATATGACAGATGTACATTGGATATGATAGGTGTACATTGGATATGACAGATGTACATTGGATATGACAGGTGTACATTGGATATGATAGGTGTACATTGGATATGACAGATGTACATTGGATATGATAAATGTACATTGGATATGATAAATGTACATTGGATATGATAAATGTACATTGGATATGACAAATGTACATTGGATATGATAAATGTACATTGGATATGACAGATGTACATTGGATATGATAGATGTACATTGGATATGACAAATGTACATTGGATATGATAAATGTACATTGGATATGACAGATGTACATTGGATATGATAGATGTACATTGGATATGACAGATGTACATTGGATATGATAAATGTACATTAGATATGACAGGTGTACATTGGATATGACAGATGTACATTGTTAATGAACTTGGAATTCTCCATTAACGATATGTACCCTAACTTGGAATACTCCATTAACGACACGTACCCTAACTTGGAATACTTAGGGTACGTGTCGTTAATGGAGTATTCCAAGTTAGGGTACGTTAATGGAGAATTCCAAGTTAGGGTACGTGTCGTTAATGGAGTATTCCAAGTTAGGGTACATGTCGTTAGTAAGACGTGGATTCTTTTGGAAATACAGCACACACATCGATAAAACCACCTTGATGTGGTAGATTAAAAGAAATATCTATTTATTTAAGTAAACTAGAAGATAATAGTAAGATAATTATTGCTTAACGTCAGCTCACAAATGGGTGATATGAATGAATAGTATAATAATAGTTACTGATACACAGAAAAACAAACAAACCTGGATTTGTTTTGTGTAATGTGGAGTCGTGTTTCACCTTAAATATCCTTGGTTTTACCAGATCTACTCCTCATAATATTTCGTTTCGTTTCTACTAGTCTTCAGTAATGTCTACAACTACACGTTTCTGTTTCTTACAAACAAACTATTATTGAATTTCTTTGATAATTCAGTTCTCTTGACAGGAATATTACAAAACCAGCAGTTTGTCAACGGCAGTTATTATTTTAATAAAACTGAGAATTATTGGACAGTTTTTGTGGAACTGAATGTACATCTAAATCTTGTAACAGGAACAAGTTACAACTTGTTTGAGATTTAAGAAATGCCTGGTCTATTTCTCCCTCAAAAAAGAAAAACAAACAAACAAAAATTAATTATATTAACATACTCGAATAGTTAGGCCTCCTAAACCTCCTCCACCGATCAGTCTTCCACCCAAGCCGTCATAACCTCCACGTCCTCCGTATTTGGTACCTGACCTTTTCAGGTCATATTCTGGTTTCACAGTTTTTTTATCTTTGGCCTTCACCACGGTTGTGAACAACAACAAGGAAATAAGGAATACAGTCTAGAAATATAAAACCAACAACTTGTTAATACTGGGTCTATAAAACGGGAGGAAATATAGTGAGTTATGGTTGTTATGATACATTCGGCTGAACTAGTTACTTACTGTTTTCGTCATTGCTTCTTTGACGCAGTGAATCTATGGATTGTGAGGCCTCTTCGCTAACCCTACATTTTATATAGGCATGTAATTTTTTCTTTTTACTTTCTATAATAACAAAATAAATAATAATTTCACAAATTCTGCTATTAATCCCAGTGTGCTAGAACTTTTCTTTGTTTGTAATTAATATCAATCACTACAAAACTGTCGACATGTCTTTCCACACTCCAGTAAGTCTGGTTTATTATAGATTTAATTAGCATTTTCTGTATTTTACTCTCACGAATTGAACTTAGGTATATCTGAAGTATTGGTTTAGTTTTATTAAAAAATACGAAGAGAAACTGCTGTTGGGGTTTAATTATAAGATAATTCTACATGTCTGTAATCACATAATTCTTAGAATTAAACTACAATTGGTTTATCATAGGCCTTCAAATGAATTTCAAACATCTTCTATAACTGCCCTTTTTTTCTATTTTGGTCGTGATGTTTGTTATTGGCGTGAGGTGAGAAAAAACAAACAAACCGAAAATGTTTCATTTTAATTAAAAATTCCACTGTACACAAAACATTATAACTTGTAACACTGATAAGACATTCATCAATTAGCCAAATAACTCGTAGTTGATAATACAGCATGTGGAATTGCTTTGATTGTTTGTTTTGAATTTCGCGCAAAGCTACACGAGGGCTATCTGCGCTAGCCGTCCCTAATTTAGCAGTGTAAAACTAGAGGAAAGGCAGCTAGTCATCATCACCTACCGCCAACTCTTGGGCTACTCTTTTACCAACGAATAGTGGGATTGACCGTAACATTATAACGCCCCCACGGCTGAAAGGGCGAGCATGTTTGGTGTGACGGGGATTCGAACACGCGACCCTCATATTGCGAGTCGAGCGCCGTAACCACCTGGCCATGTCGGCCCGTTTTGATTATTAGACGCGTTGTTTTAAATGAATATTAAGTTGTGACTTCGAACTTAGCATCCCCTAGTGGCACAGCGCTATGTTTGCGGACGTACAACGCTAGAAACTGGATTTCGATACCCGTGGTGGGCAGAGCACAGATAGCCCATTGAGTAGCTTCGTGCTAAACTTCAAACAAACAAGTCGAACTTAGCGCCCCCTAGTGACACAGCGCTATGTTTGCGGACTTATAACGCTATAAACTGGATTTCGATACCCGTGGTGGGCAGAGCACAGATAGCCCATTGAGTAGCTTCGTGCTAAACTTCAAACAAACAAATCGAACTTAGCTTCTCTGAGAAAAAAAAAACGCCTCATCTTCACCAACTAGGAAATCCTATTTTTGTATAAATTCAAGTTATGTTCCGTTTGAAAAGATTTGACGATGTTATGAGTGTAATAACACAAACATTATATTCTTAGTTTCAATGAAAGATTAGTCACTTTGTGGATACTAGATTTCACTATGTAAATATTTAATTGTTTTCACAAAAGGCTATCTGTGCTCTGCTCACCAAAGTATCGAAACCCGGTTTCTGGCGTTGTAAATCCGCAAACATTCCGCTGTGCCACTGTGTGTGTGTGTGGG